TTCTCACTTGTTCCGATGGCGGTGCTGCTGCGTGTGCGCAGTCAACATCAGATCAGAGCCAAGACAGGAACAGCATCGGACAGGATAAGCCGGGGATCTCTGAGATCCGGCGGTTCTGGAGGATGCATGGGGCGACGCGGACGTTACAGAGAACTCCAGCACGCTCTGAGAGCGAGGCGGGACGCTCTAAATCGACAACAGCCCACTGCCGGTAGACAAATGGCAAGACCCAAGCTGAAAGTTGGCGCGGGCTCCCGCTGCAAGCATTCCACGAAAACTAGACCGTCCAAATTTGAGACGGGCCCGTCAAAAAGCGTCGGTAAACCCGCGTTCTGGCGAAATCGAGTCTCATGTTCCCCCCAGCTAAATCAAGCTCGCGTCCAGGCGATGCGCCGCTGTGAGAGGATATGTAGCCCGCGTCGAGGCGAGAGCGCCTCGCACGTCACCGCTGAGATCAATAGCATTCCACTCTAGAAGTGAGCAGTCCGCAACGACAACAGCAATCATACTACTGGCATAGAGGAACAACAAACTGCATAAGCATAAACATCATGTCCCTGGGCTCCGCGCGAATTTCTTGGATCGGCGCTGGACCCCCCTCCGTGGCGCGCTCCAGTGCAAGGGGCGGCGCCAGAGTGCGCCGCCAGGGGGGGGACCAACGCCGATCCAAGAAATCCGCGCAGACCCATCACAAATTATGTTTATGCCGTGTTTAACCGTACTGTGCTTCTCACTCTCTCCTTGACCCAACCTCAAAGTATACCTGCATACCCTATTTATGCTTCGTGCGCAGGATCCACGGAGGAGAGCCCGGGAGATCGGGCCCTCGACTTGCGCCTAACAGAAGTGCACACCACTGCCCAAGCAGGGTCAATCAAGGCTTGCTGCTGCGATTGAAAAACCTGAAGGCGAGGTGCGGCCCTCGACCAGGTGATCCACCAGAGAGAGACGTTTGGCACACGCCGCCATAGGAACGATCACGTCTCCGTGGTCATCCTCCCCCAGTAGGCCCCCCACAGCAAATCCTGATCGCCCTAAATGCTTCACGTACACGTTCAGGTAGTGAAAGCCACTGTCTGTATGTCCATGAGCTATCTTAAGCTCGACCTTACCCAGAGCAATCCACCCAAGAGTCTCGTTCTCACTTTGCCACACGCTGAAATGATAGCCTCCAACCCGCTGTGCATCTGCCCAAGTCCCTGTGACGTTTAACTCTTGGAAGTACATGTCAGCGCAACTCCCTCCCAGTCGGCGCGCATCGGCCTCGACGCGAAGCAGAGCGTTTTCAGCGCTCATCCCACGAGGAATATTGATCAGAACATGCTTGCCCGCCTTCATCAAGTCGAACCGATCACCATGGATGTTCTGTAGGTGGGGATCGCCAGTTGCAGCAGCCCCATCGGCACCAGGCGTCCCCGTCGAGCCAGACGTCGGGCTCGGCGTCGGATCGGGCGTCGGGCTGGGCGTCGGGCTGGGCGTCGGACTCGGCGTCGGGCTGGGCGTCGGGCTGGGCGTAGGGCTGGGCGTCGGGCTTGGAGTCGGCGCCGGCGTTGGCACCGCAGGATTCCAGGTCACGCCAAGCGAGCTGATGTATGTCAGTTCGTTAAGATGCGGGCTGGAACACGCATAGTCTTCCCCATTGTGTACCGTAGCCACCACCCATAGCGGCGTCCTGACGGAGACACTGGACCTCTGTCCAGAAACGCCTCCCTGCTGCATCACTAGCGAGCTGCCCTTATACCAAAGGAAATTATTACCATCAATAATGAGGCTGAGAACCTCAGATGCATCCTGGCTTCCGACATTCGTGTACACTTCGTTGTTGTTGTAGTGGGTGAATACCGTGCCGTAGCGGCAGGAGAAGCCAGCATCAATCCCATTTAGGTACATGTTACCTGCACACGCGTTGTTGGTGCACGATGTCGATGGGCTTGTGATGGTGGCATCATACAAGTCCTTGAAGTCGGACGTAGAGGATGTGTCCCAAGTGCTCGGCGTGGACGCTTGCGGGGAGCCGCTGATGCCCGCCTGCTGCAGGCCGACAGAGACATAGTTGTTCGTGCACGGGCACTTGAAAGATATTCCTCGCGGACCTTCCCCAGTCGACACCACATCGGTGCGGGTGTCGAACCCGACGCAGCTCCAGCTCCAAGAAGTACCGGTTTTGGTAAGTGCTCCAGGAGACGTGGTGCACCGCTCCGAGTTGATATACTCAAAGCCAGTCGCCACCAGTGGCGGGGTTGTCGGCGTGGGTGCCAGGGCCACCAGGTTAACAGTGGCTGGGGTCGCGGGGATGCCGGTCACATAATCAACACGATTCGAGGCCGTGAGGATATCCCACCTCTGTGACGCGGTCATGGTCCCCGCCGTTGGATACGCCTCATACATGATAGCCGCGAGCCCTGAGACGTGGGGGCAGGCCATCGACGTACCCGAAGCAATACCCAACGCGACAGGGCTGCCAATGAACGTCGAGAGGATAGCCGAGCCAGGAGCCCAGACATCGACGCAAGAGCCGTAGTTGCTGAACCCAGACATGGCGGGCGACGAACCCGAAGTCCCGCCATAGGATGCCACCGTGATAGCCGACGGGATGTTTGCTGGGTTGTAGCCGCACGCATCAACGTTCTGGTTTCCTGCAGCCACCACCACGGTCACACCATCGGCCACTAGCGAATCGACCCTCTGGCCCACTTGTGGGACCTCAGGGTTGTGAACAACCGCGTGACATTCACGTCCGTGCTGTTGTGATGCGCGAAATGAACGTAGGAAGAGTGCTGCTTTGAAGTGCAATCCCTGAGAGGCAATCTTGCTCTGAACTGCTCTCCCGAAGGCAGAGTACTGCACTGGACTGGTCTCCCGAAGAGAGTGAGTGCTCCGAATTGCATTGCCCGTCGGGAGGATCTTACTGAACCGAGGTAATTCTGAAGGTAGAGCCCTGTGTTGAACTGTTCTCCACGGAGGAAGATCACTGTATTGTTTTGCTCCCTCGACGGGGGGGCTACTCAGCGGTCTGGAGGTACCTGCCACATGGCCTGCAGGTAGCCTCCTGAGGGACCTGCCACGCGACCTGGTAGGGAATGGGCAAACCAAAAGGTACCGATACTGCTACTCACCAAACCTCTCCTGGGGTGCGTTCGGACCAGGATTTCGAGGCGAATCCGGTGTTGGCGACGCATGCCCCACAGGAGGCCCAAAAAGGCGAAACTGAGGCAAGGGTAGTGGTATGGGTAAGTTTTCCTCCTCTGAAAAACCTCCCACGGAGCCTTGAGGTAACCTGCCACGGGGCCTGGAGGCAACCTCGCACGGAGCCTACCTTGACCAGGGCCCCCCGTGACCATCCAGAGAGCCTGGATCAGCCCCCCCAAGGAGTACGGAGGTACCCAGCCACGGGGCCTGGAGGCAACCGCCCAGCAAGAAGGGACGCGGAAGGAAGGGAGTGGAACAGGAGGTAACCTTCCAAGAGGCCAGGAGTACCTACACAGGAGGCCCAAGGCAATTACCCAATGCATGGAAATCAACACTCGGCACCCTGCCGCTTACTTGGGGACCCACAGACCACGTGTCTGATCTGCCGCGTCACGTGCCTCTCACATGTCGCCCACGTGAGAGGACGAAAAAATGCACAAACACAACCTGCTGGAAGCCCGCGCAGGATTCTTGGATCCGCTCCAGAGCCCCCTCCCTGGCACCGGGTGGCCCAAGCGCAGATCCGAAAACTCCGCACGGACCGCCGAAAGATTATGTTCATGCCGGTTGCTCTTCTTCGGTGCCTGCCGCCCAGGTGCCGCGTGCATGCCGTGTACCTACCGCACCCCCACAGAATCGGCGGTGGACAAACCTCCCTTTAGTAAACCTCCCCTTAGCGAAAACGGCCTGGGACCGAAACCGATGGACCTGGACCCACAAAAATGACGGCCGCGACGCCCCCTCGCAAACCGAAAACGGCCAATTCGCTAATCGACGTGTCAGGGTAGGAGGTCTGTCCACCCCCGAACGTGGTCCCTCATCGATGGGCACGGCCATCGGCGCCCGCACCCGTCGAGTAGGAGATCGACTACAGGACTGCTTCTCCCCATAATGTTTCTTTCCCCCGCCAGTGTTTTTTTCAGAAACACGCACGGTGCTCCGCAGAGCTCGACGAAGAAAGAAGCTCTGGCTGCAGTCGATTTCCTACTCGAACCCACGAGCCCCCGACCTAGGAAAAGCGACTCGCGCCTCTGGTGCGGGCGCCAACCCCGGCCATCCCGTCCCCTGTCCCCAGGGCCGCCGCCGCCTGCCTCCCCACCTGCCGCATAGGAGGAGGAGGAGGAGGAGGAGGAGGAGGAGGAGGAGGAGGCGGAGGCGGAGGAGGAGGGCGAAGGGTAGTAGGCGGAGGAGGAGGAGGAGGAGGAGGAGGAGGAGGGGGAGGAGGAGAGAAGGAGGATGAGGAGGAAGGAGTAGGAGGAAAAGGAGAGGGAACAGGAGGAGGAAGAGGAGCAGGAGGAGCAGGAGCAGGAGGAGGAGGAGGAGGAGCAGGAGGAGGAGGAGGAAAAGGAGCAGGAGGAGGAGGAGGAGGAGCAGGAGCAAGAGGAGGAGGAGGAGGAGGAGGAGGATGAGGAGGAGGACGATCTGTGAACCTGTCGCCACTTTCGAAGCCTGCTGGGGGGCCCAGCACAGTGGGTACTCACCGCGGACTCAAATTAGACCTCGCCATCCCTGGGGGGGCTGCGATCTGTGAAACTGTCGCCACATTCGAGGCCTGCTGGGGGACCAGCACAGTGACGCCACACGCAGATTCAAATTAGACCTCGCCATCCCTGGGGGGGCTGCGATCTGTAAAACTGTCGCCATTTTCGAGGCCTGTTGGGGGGCCCAGCACAGTGACGCCACACGCGAATTCAAATTAGACCTCACCATCCCTGGGGGGGCTGCGATCTGTGAAAGTGTCGCCATTTTCGAGGCCTGCTGGGGGGCCCAGCACAGTGACGCCACACGCAGATTCAAACTAGACCTCGCCATCCCTGGGGGGGCTGCGATCTGTGAAACTGTCGCCACTTTCGAGGCCTGCTGGGGGGCCCAACACAATGACGCCACACGCAGATTCAAATTAGACCTCGCCATCCCTGGGCACAGTGGGTACTCACCGCGGACTCAAATTAGACCTCGCCATCCCTGGGGGGTTGCGATCTGTGAAACTGTCGCCACGTTCGAGGCCTGCTGGGGGGCCCAGCACAGTGACGCCACACGCAGATTCAAATTAGACCTCGCCATCCCTGGGGGGCTGCGATCTGTGAAACTGTCGCCACTTTCGAGGCCTGCTGGGGGGCCCAGCACAGTGACGCCACAGGCAGATTCAAATTAGACCTCGCCATTCCTGGGGGGCTGCGATCTGTGAAACTGTCGCCACTTTCGAGGCCTGCTGGGGGGCCCAGCACAGTGACGCCACACGCAGATTCAAACTAGACCTCGCCATCCCTGGGGGGCCGCGACCTGTGAAACTGTCGCCACTTTCGAGGCCTGCTGGGGGGCCCAGCACAGTGTCGCCATGTGCGGACCCAAATTAGATCTCGCCATCCCTGGGGGTCTGCGATCTGAGATTCCCGCCTTCGGAGTGGCTAGGGTTGCTCAGGGATTGTAGCAAATCAGCTTTATCGAGTCCTTGTCCTGTAGCCAGTGTCCTGCGAGTGTCCCGAATTCCGTCTGCAGACAGATGCAACCCTCGTTCCGTCATCGCCCGCCTTATAAAGTGTCCTAAACTATTTGCGCCCCGCGCTTGCGCAGGGGTTGGGTACGTCGTCAAGGTAATTCGTATGATTAGTATCCTCCTCCTCCTCCACCTCCTCCTCCTCCTCCGCCTCCTCCTCCTCCTCCCTCGTCTGTCTGTCTGCTTGTTCGTCGTCCCTCCACATACCTTCTCCTCCCCCTCCCTCCTCCTCCCTCCACATCCCTTCTCCTCGCCGTTCATATTTGCCTCGTCTTCCTCCGTAGGAGGAGAGGAGGAGGAGGAGGAGGAGGAGGAGGA